ATATTTCATCTAGAGTTGTTATATTAAACATTTCAGATTAAGTTACTACCTTGTAAGAACATTAAGCATTATAAACCTATTTCTTTAGCATATAATATTGTACTTTATCACTGCATTATAAGTATGTACAACTAATATTACCAGTATATCATAAAAAATAGGTTTACACATGCTTATTGTTCTTACAAGGTAGTAACTTCATCTGAAATGTTTAATATAATGGCTCTAGATGAAATCTATAGGTGAACAGATTTGCTGGTGAAGATTCTCAGTCATCCAGGTCATGATAAATTCAAAAAATGTTCAATACAAAAACAGCTGGACTTTATTTGTAACAGAAGACGTTTCGCTCCTCATCCGAGGAGCTTTCTCAATTCAATGAGCAGTAAGTAAGAGATTCAGGTTATAAGGCTGAGTGAGATAAGACACACACACATATGTAGATTTGACAAGTCACACCTCAACACCTTAACAGTAGGGATTTCTTAAGGTCTTTGATACTCTTAATTCACAGATGAGACCCCTCAGATCCCATCAAGTGTGAAAACCAGCTGGGAATCTGTCTTAAAGTTGCATTATAGGTTTTTGAAAGTGGAAATCTGAGACCTCCTCTGTTAAGAGATGGCTTTTCTCTTTTTACATAAATTGCTTCCTTCACCCCCCTCTCAAACCATCTGTGTTCTCGGTCCAAAATGTGCACATTTTGGTCCTCAAAAGAGTGTCCCTTATCTGTGAGGTGGAGGTGAACAGCTGAATCTTGTCCTGTGGAGCTGTCTCTCCTTTGTTGAGCCATGTGTCTGTGAAGAGGCTGTTTAGTTTCTTCAATGTAGAGGTCTGGACAGTCCTCGCTGCACTGGACTGCATACACTACACCACTCTGTTTGTGTATGGGTGTTTTGTCCTTAGGGTGGACCAGCCTCTGTCTGAGAGTCCTGCTGGGTTTGAAATGTACTGGGATGTTGTGTTTGTTGAAAATTCTTCTGAATTTCTCTGATACTCCAGCAACACAAGGGCTGACGATGTTTTTCCGTCTGTCGTTCTCCTTTTTCTGTTTATTAGTGTGTTTTGTAGATTTCCTCACTGACTTGACAAAAGCCCAGTTAGGATATCCACATGTTTGGAGAGCTTCTTGAATGTGTTTGTGTTTATTTTCCTTCCCTTCTGTATTCGTGGGGACGCGCTCGGCCCGATGCTGTAAAGTTCTGATGACAAGAGAGTTTGTGTTCCAGTGGATGGTGAGAGTCAAACAGAAGATACTGGTCTATGTGGGTTGGTTTTCTGTAAACTTCAATTTTGAGGCTGTCCTCTCTTTCCATCTGGATCAAACAGTCCAAAAAAGGCAGCTTGTAGTTGTTTGCATCCTCTCTGATGAACTTGATGTTATTATTGACCGAGTTAATGTGTCTGGTGAACGCTTCTATTTCCTTAGCTTGGATTTTGACCCAGGTATCATCCACATATCGGAACCAATGGCTTGGCGTTGTTCCCTCATAGGAGTTTAGGGCTCTCTGTTCCACTTCCTCCATGTAGAGATTGGCAACAATGGGTGACACTGGAGATCCCATGGCACAGCCACGCTTCTGTCTGTAAAAACTGTCATTGAACTTAAAAAGGTGGTGGAGAGGCAGAGATCCAACAGGGTGCAGATCTGGTCTGGGGTGAAGTTGGTCCTGTTGATTAAGTCCTTGTCTTGTAGAAGTTGTTTTCTGACGGTTTCTACTGCTTCAGACATGGGTATGCAAGTGAAAAGAGAAGTCATATCATATGATACAAGGGTTTCTCCTGGGATTAGTTTCAAATGTTGAACTTTGTTAGCAAAATGAATGGAGTTCTTTATGTGATGAGGTGTGTTTCCAACAAGAGGAGCTAAAATACCAGCCAGATGTTTAGCAATATTGTATGTCACTGAGTTCATGCTGCTGACGGGTCTGAGTGGTGTTCCTTCTTTGTGTATTTTTGGAAGTCCATAAAGACAGAGAGTGGCTTCCCCTGGGTGCAATCTATAATACAATGATTGATTGTTTTCTCCTTTTCAAGTTTTTGCAGGTAAACTTTGACTTTCTTTTTATAGGTGCTGGTTGGGTCCCTCTTCAGAGTCTCGTAGTTGTTGCTGTCGCTCAGTAGTGTAGTTTTCCTGGTAATCAGAAGTGTTGAGGACTACTGTGCATCTTCCTTTATCAGCTGGTAAAATGGTGATGTTTTGGTCCTGGCTGAATGATGTTACAGCTTTCCTTTCCTGTGGTGTGAGGTTTGAAGGAGGCGGTTTGGCACTGGAGAGGGTTGCTGATATTTTCATTCTGAGTTGTTCTGCCTCTGCTTCCGTCAAGTTGTTTCTAATCGCGGATTCAGTGGCCGTGATTAGTTCCACAACAGGTATTTCTTGAGGGGAGATGGCAAAGTTTAGTCCTTTTGCCAGCACATCTTTCTCAGGTTGTGTCAATGTCCTGTTAGACAAATTTCTAACCCACTGGTCCTGAAAATTTGTGTTGGCGACAACCTCCTGATCTTGACTGATGGTTTGTGATGAGAAAACAGCTCTCTGTTGTAATTTTAGAAACTTACTTTTTTTACTTTCCTTGCTCTTTTGATGCTGTGAAAGCTGGGCCTTTTCAAACTAAACAAGAAACTTCTTCCAACAGAGGAAGTGGTAGCAGAGGAGACAGCTTCTGGAGGGTTTGATCCATTTTGAGTGAGAGCGCTTCAATGGTGAAGTGGATCTGTCTTATTCTCTCACTGAGCAGCTTGTTTTGAGCTTTCAGGAGTATTCCTTCTGCTCTGTGTCCTTTGATCGTGGAGTTGAGTTTTAAACTGCTGGGGGTTAGTTTTTCTTGTCTGAATGTCAGACTGAAACAAAGATATAGTTCCTGTAGTCTGCAAACTTCCTTGACATCTTCTCAAACTCCCGCACTGCTTCTAGGGTATCCTTCCCAAAATGCTTAGTAAAAATGCTTAGCTGTCCAGACCTCTACCTTGGGGAAACTAAACAGCCTCTTCACAGACACATGGCTCGACACAGGAGAGCCAGCTCCACAGGACAAGATTCAGCTGTTCACCTCCACCTCACAGATAAGGGACACTCTTTTGAGGACCAAAATGTGCACATTTTGGACCAAGAACACAGATGGTTTGAGAGGGGGGTGAAGGAAGCAAGTTATGTAAAAAGGGAAAAGCCATCTCTTAACAGAGGAGATCTCAGATTTCCACTTTCAAAAACCTATAATGCAACTTTAGCAGTTTTCACACTTGATGGGAACAGAGGGGTCTCATCTGTGAATTAGAGTAACAAAGACCTTAAGAAATCCCTACTGTTAAGGTGTTTAGGTGTGACTTGTCAAATCTACATATGTGTGTGTGTCTTTTCTCACTCAGCCTTATAACCTGAATCTCTCACTCACTGCTCATTGAATTGAGAAAGCTCCTCGGATGAGGAGCGAAACGTCTTCTGTTACAAATAAAGTCCAGTTGTTTTTGTATTGAACGCTTTTTAGAATTTTGTATTGAACATTTTGTGAACAGATTTGGCTCATTATTTAACAAGAAACTGGTCAGTTTTGTCTCTTCACCCTTAATGTATAATAAACAATTATTAATGATTTATAAAGTGCTTATAGAGGAATTAATAAGGTATCTACCAAATAACATATTTATTAGCATCTATAAGGGGAGCTCCAACAATTTTCAGTCAGGTTGTCTGGACAGTTTCTTTTTTTGCTGAAACTTTTCACCTTCCATCCAGAAGGCTTCATCATTTTTTTTATTTATTTTTTTTGGTTTTGAACCAGTTTGACATGACTGTCGACGATGAAGAGGGCCGGCAACTGAGGAGGGGGCATGCCAAAGACACCATCTTAGCACCAACATAATTCAATTCAAAATTCAATTCAATTCAATTCAAAAATACTTTATTAATCCCAGAGGGAAATTATTTGTTGTTGTAACTCGTTATCCTCATTTCATTAAGAGATGTCATAGATGCTGATGACTGTAGGCAGGAAGGATCTCTTGTAAAGGTCCATCCCACAGTGGATCCTAAGAAACTGGCTGCAGATGTCGTTCGATCCGTCCATCCAAACTTGGCTGGCCTCTCGGTTCCCTCGGGCTGTAGGACCGCCCAAATGCTGGGCAGAACTCCTCCCAGAGCAATGGCCACTCCTCCCAGCAGTCTGCCAAGCTCCTCGTCGCTGCGGATAGCCAACTGTAGGTGCAGAGGGACGATCCTGTCCTTCTGCTGTCATGAGCCGTGTTTCCTGCTAGTTCCAGGATCTCAGTGGCCAGGCACTCGAGCACAGCTGGCAGGTAGATGAGAATGTGTTCACAGAACATCCTTTTCAACTCACTTGTAATTTGGGGCTGTAGTTGAGATATTATTTGAGCTTTTGAGTTGTTAATCAGCTGCTGTTGGTTGTAGAAAACTGCCTTGTTGCCATGGTTACGCATCATAACAAATGTCCAAAACTAAAAAAGTTTCAGTAAAAATCCTTCCAGCTGCACATCATTTGATACCAGAGGAAACAATCATCCAAAAAAAATTGTGATTTACCTCCAGAAAAAGAGGAATTAAGTTTCCAAAAGCAAAATCTCAAAATGAAAGTAACAGAGCTGCTCCAACATGCAGCCACCTTGAGCGGCGCAATTCTAGAATTGGTTTGTTGTTTTAACTGGTTTGTTCCACTTTGGAGTAAGCTGTTTGGGGGAATAATCAGTTTTGTTGTGGGTTTCCTTGACTGATGAAGCCTTCTGGATGGAAGTTGAAACGTTTCAGCAAAAAAGAAACTGTCCAGATAACCTGATGGAAAAATGTTGTATTGTATACCTGGATTATTGAGCATGGACTTTTTTTGGCTATAAGGGGAGCCTTATTGTAAAGTGGTACCAAGTTTTCTTCTATACACTTAAAATAGTGTTCATTACTTGTTTCTTAAATACTATAAAATATTTCAAATGAATTAGTTTTGATGAGTTCTTGTTATCACTATGTTAGCATTGTTTGTTGTTTTCTATTATTAATTAGTTGTTTGGATGCTTCTAATCATGGTGATTTGATTGTGTGCAGGAGTCGGGGCAGTCTATACCCGTGGTGGTTGAGAGCTGTATTCGATATATCAATTTATATGGTAGGTTCTTTTCCTGCTTTTTATTTTATTTTTTCGGGAAAATAAGAAAAACTCTAAGCTTTGCTAGCAAATCTTTGTGAATTAAAAACATAAACTAAGCATAATGGGTTTTTTTTATATTATGTGGACAATCATTGGGGAACAAATAATTTCCTTCTATAAGAAATGTTTTTGTCTCTTTGTGTTTATTTTGTTTGCATGTCTTTATATTTAAGGTTTGGCATAAATTGTTCATTTGTGTAAATGGGGTGCAGATGGCATGTTATTTGCTAGAATCTGCACATTAAACACATTTACTGCATCCAAATTTTAATTTGTACAATTCCTGGATGTTTTTTTTTTTTTTTTTTTAATATGTAATTTTATTTCATGCTATACTTGTTTCAGCTTAAATTCTTACATTTTGACTTAAACAGTTTTGGCTGCAGTCTCTTTGTTTTTGTGTAAATTATTCTTTATTTTAAAGTTGGACACATAAAAGTTTAAAGAGACAATTAATTATATAACACAAGAAACATTCCAAATAAGCCATCAAAACAAATTCATAATTTATCTGCAAATCAGTTTAGGCTCAAAAACAATGACATGTTCTTAAAGGTTCATGCAAGAGATTTTCATTAGTTTAATGTTTTCCTCCTCCTGAGGTGTCTCTGTCTTTGAGGAGCCTCCCATTAGGTCCAGTCTGCTCTGATTAGTAGTTAAAGAGCAACATGGACGTGTTTGGCAGCCGCTCATTGTTTATATCAATCAAGCCAAATTAGACTCCAGGCTTGCTTTGTTCGAAGTGTTTCATTATCGTGTCATTAGTCCTGAACTATAGACATGGAATCCCGTATAGATCGGTAGAAATGTTTTCTGCAGTAGAAAACTCCCACTTTTGTGTCAACACAGACGTTTCTACATAAAAAAAGTATAACACACTTTTAGTATAACTTACAAATTAAACTAGCAGAAAATGCACAGCACATTTAGTTTTTGTTCTTTTAAAGGAGCTGCTTGAAACAGTTTATGAACAAAAAAAAACATATGCTTCCTGTGCAAACTGTTCAGCTCTGCTAAATACAGAAAGGAAAAAAAAAAAAAAATACCGTACCAGTATATGTACTTAAGTTGGTCAAGTGCTTAAAACCATTGCTTTAAGTCGTTTGCTTTTACTCACATGTTTGACTTTAGATTAAATCAATATAAATCTCATTTTGCCAAATCTAAAAGTGCACAGATGAGCAGCTGGGGGTATTTTTATCCAACTGAGCATCTTTGTTCATGCCACCTTAACAGGTTTTTCTGTGTCCGCAGGTCTGCAGCAGCAAGGTATATTTCGGGTTCCAGGATCTCAGGTCGAAGTGAACGATATTAAAAACGCATTTGAACGAGGTTAGTCCCTGGTTGACTCGCCGTCTTCTTTTGATTGGTTTTAAATTGCGTTTTGCCCACCTGAAAAGCCACAGTGCGTCTCCCACAACTCCAGAGTGCAAATAAAAAGCCTCCGTGTCGCATGCAGCCCCCTGTAATGGACGTGCAGACCACTTAATGCATAAAACATCAGATCAGCATCCGGGAGTAATAACAAATGAGGAAGCATTACTGCGTTATTGTGCTCAAATTTGAAAGACACGAAGAGTTGCGTCAAAGCCATGTCAAACAAATGTGGATGCTATGAATGAGTAATGAGAGAATTAAGAGTCGGGTCCATCTGCAGGAGAAGATCCGCTGGTCGACGATCAGTCGGATCATGACATCAACTCTGTTGCTGGCGTTCTCAAGCTCTACTTCCGCGGGCTGGAAAACCCGCTGTTCCCCAAAGAGCGTTTCCTCGACTTTATATCCACCACTAGTGAGTCGCATTACAGGAACACATCTGAAATAAGCTAAAATATTTATGACAATCGTTTCACGTGCTCCTCATGTATTTATTTATTTTTTTGTCCTTTGAGAATTTGACTCTGGTGCGGAGAGAGCTCATCATCTTCAGCAGATCATCGTGACTCTTCAGAGGACCGTGATCGTCGTCATGAGATACCTGTTTGCATTCCTAAACCAGTAAGTGTCGTCGCAGCAACATTAAAAGGCACGTTGTTACTGTGATGCTCAGTGTGCACGTCTCTCCAAGCCTTTCTCAGTACAGCGATGAGAACATGATGGACCCTTACAACTTGGCTATCTGCTTTGGCCCCACGCTGATGCCCATACCAGACGACCAGGATCCAGTGTCCTGCCAGGCACACGTTAACGAGGTCATTAAGACAGTCATCATGCACAATGAGGCCATCTTTCCGAGCCAGCGAGAGTTGGAAGGACCTGTTTATGAGAAGTGCATGGCAGGAGGTGAAGAGTACTGGTAGGTGCAAGGAATGATATAAAAAACAACTTTTTTCTATATTCTCCAAGTAATGACTAGCAAGGATTCAAGGTTCTTTATTGTCATTCGCACCACATGTGGTACATGAGGTGGAACAAAATTGTGTACACAGGGTCCCAGTTACATCCAACAGAAGTATAAAATGGAAAAGAAAAACTGTAATAAGAGTTAAGATATGAACTAAGAAAAATATTAACTAAAAATATAGTAAGCTCTAGTAACATATAAAAATACGTCGAACAGCAGCACGAACATGAGTCTGTGTGATCAGATGAGCACGCATGAACACAGCAACATGAAACCGATCAGCAGCAACATGATGTGATTTTTTTCCAGTGATTATTCTGGTTAGATATTCATGAGTCTAACAGCCTCAGGGTAGAAGCTGTTCCTCAGTCTAGTGGTTCTACACTTAATGCTCCTTAACCTCCTTCCTGAGTGAAGCTGGGCAAAAAGTGTGTGCTGGGTGAGTGGAGTCCTTCATGATGCAGGTGGCCCTCTTCCTGCATCTGGAGGAGTAGATGTCTGGAACTTTCATGACATGCAGAATGTGTAACAATGTACTTTTTTTGTTCACTGATTTGAACAGAAATTTTACTACCAAATGAATTGTGTTTGGGTTTAGGAAGTGCAGTTAAAATCACAAAACAGTTGACTAAACAGAAGAACCTACATGCAGAATCTCATTGGGATGAAGTGATGAGTCAAAATTGTAAGAATAGGCAAGTTTTCCATTGTAGACTCCTGTCGTTCTGAATGATTGCAATCAGCGAGCTGTTTTTGAAAATCGCAGCCAATTGTTGTAAACACAGCTTGTAACAGCATTCTAGGGTGTAAACCGATTTATTTTCTGTCCGCATTGGACTCGCCTCAGCTCACCCTGTACCCATCTTGGCATGATTGAAACTAGCTAAACTTTTGAACTTAAGATGTGACTGAACCACTTTTTAAAAAATTATTGTCTGTGTGGTTTTTAGACTTTTATACCAGAGATGTCGCCTCACATGTTTTTAGCATATGAAAGCATTTGTGCATTTATGACACACACAAAAAAATACAGCTTTAGGGCTCTAAAACTACTCACACAAACTTTTAAAACATGTTCAAAGACTGCTACTTATACAAGATAATTGAGAACCAGAGCAAACATTTTGAGAGAATGCATTTTAGAGACTCTCCTAATGCAGTTCATCAACAGTAGTAGGAGCCCCATGAGGTAACATGAAGAGTTCAAAATGGCTTTTTTTGTTTTACACAGAAAATATTTTGCCTGTGTTGCTTTCTGTTGTGTGCCTTATGTATAAGACACCACTGAGCAGGTTATTGTGTATTATATTTGTTAATTATGCCAAAAACATGATTATGACAAATACATATTCTAAATCAGGGGTTCTCAAACTTTTTGGGTTCAGGGACCCCTTACAGGGGAGAAAAAGTTTTAGGGACCCCCTCATAACCCTTATGTTTATTAAATAATTTTCTTCAATTTGTCTTTAATGCAATGGAAATATTTGTGCAACATAAATACTTCAGACCTGTTCTTTAATAGTGTTAATACAATTTTTATACTTTTAAACAAGATATTTTTCATTCTAAACACACAATTAACAAAATATTTAATTTCAAATTCCAAAAAGTTACAGGTTTGAGTGGGCGATATGGCTCAAATATAATATCGTGATATTTCAGAGCATTCTGGTGATAACGATAAATTTCGTGATATAACAAAAAAAAACAGAAATCATAGTTATTCATTTGACAAAATTAACTTAACATGTTGCTTTGCAGTATTGTATAAAAACAAAAAAAACCAAGGGTTAATTTTACTGAAATTACTTTATTTAGTAAAGTATTCAGTCTCCAAGTATAAAAAGAAAAGTAATCTTTCTGTTATTTAGATTGAACACTTCTGCACAAAATATAGATCAATAAATCCACCACAAAAACTAAAGTGCAGGTGAAGTTTCCCAAAATAACTAAATAAACTGAAGCTCCAGATCTGTTGAGCATAAATGTAACATACAACAAAATATATGTTGCCTTTAAATGAGCTATAACTTCCAGAACTTGTAACAAGGTGATCAGCTGACCCTGAAGCTTGTGGAGTTTCAGCTTCCTCTGTTCCTGCAGGAATGATTCATTTCTCTGATGCTCTGTCTCTGATCACCTGACTCTGTTCTTGGTTCATGGACTATGGAACTCAAGAGACAGACCTGCGCGTGTTTGTACTGGCACTTTAGAGCGGGGGAGACGTAGCCGAGAGCTGTGCCCGCACCGGCAGCTCAGAGCGGGGTGGGGGAGGGAGAGACAGTTGAGCTGTCTGTACCTGCAGTTTAGAGCTGGATGGAGAGACGCAGCCGAGCCGCGCGTTGTTTGTTTTTATCTTTTTAGCTAGCTAGCATTGCGCGCAACTAATTAGCGTTATGTCAGTACCGACAGGTGGATGGGGGGTGTAGCATTTCGGTTTGTTCGTTTGGCGCACTCGGTTCTTTCAACGGGGCGGGGCACTTGACGTATTACATCATGAAATTAGCATATCATGATATCGTTTAATTTCCTGGGCAAGCTTTTTTTTACCAGTATTATCGTGAACGATATGATCTGGCCCAGCCCTAATTAACAACATCAAAAACCACTTTAAAACTTTTATCTATTCACTTAATGAACATAAATGTGTTGCCACTTCTTCAAATTATTACAGAAAACTTTACATCAAACTGAATAGAATCATAACAGCAGTAGTCACACCAAGTAACGGGGATTAATTTGTAAACTGATCAATGCCGGAATGCAAATGGTGGGGGGTCCTCCCCAGAAAAATTTGAATAAAGTAGATGTGTTTTCCTGCATTTTGGTGTATTTTAACAAGCATCTATCTACGTGCTTGTAAAAATAATTATTTATTCATTCATTTGTGTTTTGCGGACCCCTGGGGGTCCGGGACCCCGATTTGAGAACCACTGTTCTAAATGTCCCCCTGTCAAAGGAGCCCACAGCACATATTAAATCTTCATGAGCTTAGACCTGTTGCTTCTGGGAACAAACTCCAATCCTGAATCTAATCATTTTAGGTTTATATTTTGGGGTGTGTGCTTTGTTTTATTTAATTATTGTTTGAAAAAAGCTTTACGGCAACAATTTAGAAACAATATAGGTCTGTTCGGACAGTCGGCAAACCAGATTTTTATTTCTAATCAAATCTCAAAGACAGACTGCCCGCTCTGTTACTCGTACGTTATTAGATCAGCTGCGTGTGACCAGAAATCTCTAACTTGTCTGCAGGTTGCTACGGTAACAACAAAGGTGTCACTAAAACTGCATAGCAACTCTGCTCCTCATGCGTTCACAAGCTGCCCTTAAAGGTGTCGGCACATGATTTTATGTTTTACTTTTTTGTTCTTGTTTACCGTTTTTCTCTGCACTAATTGTACAAGACTTATTTTTCCAAACAAATGCCTTTTAATTTTCTCCATTTTTGTGCCTTTGACCCATAAATTGATCTTAGTGAAACATCTCTGTTCCAAAAACGCACCTGAATGGGAGGGATTGAGGAGATTTAGTGGAAAATTAAATTATTTTCTTCAAACCTCATATATGGACTCCACTTTTGTGCCAAACTTGAGCGAGCTGATGTGAGAAATCCGTCAAGCACCGGTTTACTTTGTGATGTTGTTCTAAATATGTTAAGAGTTGTACCATGTGCATTTAAAAGTTTAAACGTAGTGTGAGAAAAAAAAATCACATTTAAGTCTACCACAAAATGTGGTTTAGATCCTCAGAAGAACTTTCTTGTGGTTGCTGTTCCGATTTTTGGAAATAAATCATGAAATGCCAAAACAGTTGTAATGAACGCCAAAAACGAAAACATGGATTGTCATTCGGCTCTGACCTTTAGCGTTCCTTCTTGCCTGTGCAGTGAAAGTCCTCACAGTGAGCCGGGGGCTCTCGATGACATCGACAACGGAACCGGACCAAACACGAGTGATGAAGGTCAGACACCAAACGCGATCGATAAACTGTCAAGATCGCAGCTGCGAAGCCTGGAGCCGATGGAGGAAGTAATGAGATTTGTTCAGCTGAGCTCCATCGTGTTCTTTGTGCTGCAGAGTTTGAGCCGATCGAGGCCATCGCCAAATTTGACTACGTGGGCCGAAGTCCAAGGGAGCTGTCTTTTAAGAAGGGAGCGTCTCTGCTGCTGTACCTGCGAGCCTCTGAGGACTGGTGGGAGGGCCGGCATAACGGCGTGGATGGGCTGATCCCACATCAGTACATTGTGGTGCAGGACATGTAAGTTTGACTTTAAAAACCCATAAAGGATCAGCAGAAATCAGCCTTATGAGTGACTTTCCTTTCTGTTTTTCCTGAGTTCTGTGTTGTCGCTTTTGTCATTTTTAGTTTTAAGTAAAACCACATCAATAATCTACTAAAGAGCAGCACCACGTTATAATTAGACAAGTCGGTCTTTGAACAAAACCTTGAATTTCTCCGTCAGATTATTTCTTCAAAAGGAGATTTTAGTTACACGGCAAGTAACTTAAAGGTACAGTACTTTTAAAACTGGAGTTGTGTGCAGTGCTTTTGAGCAGTCACTATCTTACTCGCAGTAGATGGCAATCTGGTATTTCATTGTTGGGATTCAAGAAGTTTGCGTCAAGCTAACAGTAATCAGAAAAAGGTTTTCTTTGTTAATGCAAATTTCTACCGTCTAAAGCAAGACGACCTCAAAATTGCCCCGGATGTTCAAACTAATGCTGAATCAAATAATTTTATACCTTGTTGCTTTTGATTATGTAGGTGTTTTAATTTGTTGCAAAATTTTCAACTGAGTTCTTGTGATGCTACATGTTTGTAACATGAACCTCTGCTGCCACTGATCAGCTTCTTCTGTATAATTTGATCATTTGACTCATAAATATAGATATTTATGCCTTTGTTTTCTCAGATTAAATGAACATAGCCTTATATTTTTGTCACTAAATTTTAACGTCTAGTTGTTTTGTGCTTCATGGTGGATCAGTGGGTTAGCACTAGCCTCACAGTAACCAGGTCCTGGGTTTGACTCTAAGCTAGGGCCTTATTGTGTGATGTTTGCATGTTTTTTTTTTCTTCTTCTTCGTGTTTTTTCTCCAACAGTCCAATAATATGCATGCTTGATTTACTGGTGTTTCTAAATAGCTCCTCGGTGTTTCCCCTGCCATTATACAAAGAGGGTGCCCTGCCCTGTCAACCGAGCCAAGCACCCTACCTACAAAGTCCCCCACGACAGTTCCGCTACTTCTGGAGCAGAGTGGAGATTTTAGCAACAAAGCAACAGGATAAGCAGTTCAGACCTAGCATTACTACCGTAACGCTCCACTAATGCAGCGTTCATTTGAACTAGAGAGAATTATAAAGTTTTAATTAATTAATGTATTGTTGGTTCTTTTGGCTCTTCTCTGAGTGGATGCTAGTTTGACTTCTTTATGAAAATGCCCACTGATTCTCTAAGCTGAGTTTGTTCTGACTGTTGTCTGATGCAGGTAAGATACTGCCTATTTACATATTCACCATACAACCCCACTTTGAAAATAAGCACCATAATAATCAAATACTCCTTTTTTTTTTTTATTATTAACATTTTTAAATTGTATTATTAAAAAAAAAATATATATATGTATTTTTTTATATATATATATATATATATATA